AGCAGCTGTCAGACATTTGACAGCATGCTGCTGATGACAATAGCTTACGTCTACTTCAAGCCCTGGTATGCTAGAAACAGTGGGGAGAAATGGGCACATCCACAGCATGATCCCAACCTTCCTAAGTCAAATTACTAAGGCAGGGCAGAGTGCTCTACAGAGACAACTCTGAGGCTACAGGACCAACACAGGTTTAGATAACTGTTTAGTAGCTATCTAAACCTAAGGGAGACAAACCCTATCTTCAGCTTTCTGGTGAAATAACAGTCCATGGTCGTAATGTTAAGTGCTGATGTAAGGAAAAGGTAAGAGAGCTATGCTTGGAGTGGAGGATGGTATTCAGAGAGGGACTATTGGCACTGAGCAGTGCAGAAGAGAGCAAAGCTGCTCTGCTGCTGCTCCTTCTTTCCACACTGAAACAGAAGAGCAGCAGCTTTCCACTTTCCAGAATGGGTGCCAGTAACACCAACCACACAGAATCCTGCATCTCCAGAAAAAGATAAAAACAGGGATAATTACCAGCAGCCTCCTACAGTATCCAAATCGCCTGCTTCCATCTTCCCCCGTCAGGACAAATGAGAATGTCTCACTGCAGAAAGAGAAACCAGAATGACAAGATACCTATCACCTATATTAAAAGTCTCTGACATACAAAGCCAATAAACCCACAATATTTTTGCATTTCCAATACACCCCTCTCAGAGCTCTGCCCAATTTTCTACCATAATAGCTCACGTATTTAATTAGTTTGATATATAAATCTGCTTCTCATGAATCAGGATACCAAGTACAGTACTTACCTGGCAAACTGATGGATAGGGGCCCAGTCCTTTGCATCGGGGAAGCAAAACTGGGGAATAGCTTTCAACTGATCTTCTGCCTCACGCATGAATTTGAACGAGCGCTCGAGCTAGCAGAACAGAGAGAAGGAATGTTTCCAATTAGTCATGTGGGGATGGAATGACTTCAAATATTTTTCCTGTGACAAATGAAGAGGTGATGACAGAGGCTAAGCTTCTGCCTGGAAGATATTAAAATTTCTGTGATTCTGACTCACCTAATCTTTAGATATCTTAAAGTAACTCTGTGTCCCTAATTCCACCAAGCCCTGCATCTGCAGCACCTGCCCCTACTATATCGTGCCACTGATCTGTGACACATCTTCTAAAAAGCAATGAGAGAACTGAAGTTTGAGAGGAGCTCTGGTTACATCCCATTTACAAACACACTGTCACACTGGCTCTGTGTTTCTTCCATTCCTTGTTCCCCATTTTGAGCTAGACTATTGGTGAAAGCTGTGCCTTCCCTTTAAGAACACGTGTCTTCTCCCAAGTGTCAGCTTTCTTTAAAGAGAAAAGGAGGAGAAAGGGAATAGCTACATAAAAGTCATAGCCAAGAGCAGCAAAAGATCTAAATCAGCTGCTCTTTCAACAGTGAGGAATACCATGGCAATCCTCAGGGGGTGACTGCAGCCCCTCTATCCTCACTCTCACTGAACACTGACACAGCATAGGGGTTACTGATATAATGTGCGGTCATCAGAGAAGCTGTGCTTCTCCAGCTGTGCAAGTGCACCACGCAATCTGAGACAGGTCAGCCAGACCTTCCTGACAGGCACCGCACCTTCAACGGGAACTGCTGGGTAACCTCAGGGATGTAGGCAGCCCCAGCCTGCTTCTTGTGCAGTGACACCACGACAAAGTACTCAAACAGCTGCCTCTCTTGATATTCGATCAAGTCCCGTTCCAAGGTTTGGTATCGTGGGGTTTGCTTCAAGCGAGATTTCACATGCACCAGGCGCTGGCTGTGAGCTACAAAGAAAAAGATTAGATATTGTGACTTTCTCTAGCTCTTTGCACAGAGCACCAACAGTGCTTTGCAGAGACTTACGGATCAACTCAAAGCCACTTCACTGCATTTACTTTGTGGCTGAGTAAGAGGTGGGAACCATTTGGAAGCTGCACTACAAATATCAACAGAGACAGGACATAATCTTGTGAGTGCGAAGATGAAGAGCTTTGGCAGCAGAAGGATTTCATGGACAGTTTTTACAGTTGAAGTCAACCCAAACTGAGAACCATATGGGACATGGTGTAACAGATGATGCCTGGGCATTCATCCTAGCATTCATTTATGCATCTTTCAAAGCCAGCACAGTTAGGAGATTGATCACCTTTGTTCAAAGGAGGCTGTGGGTAGCAATCCCCACAGTTTTACAGGCACTTGGGTCAGACTAGGGCTCCACTGGCTGAGTAGTGCGGGGACTCCCAGCTTCAGCCACACAGGCTGGGCTGTAGGCCAACAACAAAAACTGTGAGAAGAGGTGCAAATGAAAAAGGCTGGCTCATGCCAGTCCTTCCTGTGCCTAGAACTAATCTCTCAGGACCATGTTTCTACAAGTTCACCCAAGACAATGGGAAAACAAGAAAAAGTGCCAAGCAAGCTGTAACTGCAACACACATGAGCTGTGGGACAATAAACATTCCAGCATGGAAAGTAATGAAAAGCTGCCTGCTGAGAAGAGACCAGATGAGATTCCTTAAGACCACCCCCCTGCTTTGTTTTACAGTCACATCCCAAATTAAATCTGCATGATGTCTCCCTTAACCCTGCTACAAAAGAACGAATGAACGAACGAACTACAAGCAGAGACTACAGCACATTCTCACAGCTGTGCTTTTCACAAATGCGGGTGGCAATACAATATTTTGACAGAAACGACAACCACAGCGATACTGCAGGAATTCCAAATACGTAAGATGTCTGCTTGGGAGACAGGGCTTCCTGAGAGGAAGGTATATACTTTAGGACAGACTCTTGACCTTTTGTCTGGTAAAGTTGTGCCACTCATGGACTATTCCAAACAACATCATTTAAAGCAATCTTGAGATGCCTCTTAAATCAGACTGTGTAACAATCCCTGCACAGTTAAAGCCCTGGAAAGATGGCTTAGACTCCCTTCTCTCATCACTTATCACGCTACTTGCTCTAAGGCTGTAAATCATCAAAAGTTTTCAGAAGTGGTTTCTGTTTTACCAGGGACTTCAAAAGGAGCAATGTCACAGCAACGCTGAGTACTTCTGAAAAGCTCCCTCAAGCTCTGCACTGTTTATATTCTGTGCAACCTACCAGAGGTACCAGGATTGTACTGCTGTCATCATGGCAGAGTTTGCCTTTGAACATTTTTACTTCCCAAGGGTCAGCACTTATGGCTCTGACACACAATCTGATGATTGCTCTCTCATGATTTACCGTGTCTCAGATGATGTACAGTGACTTGCTAAGCAGAGGTAACTGGCTGGTATGTTTGGTCTGTTAAGTAAAATATACAAAATAAAAAGTCCCAGCTAAAAGGAACTTGCTAAATCATCTCACTTTCCCATTTAAAAATAGGAAAGTCAACAGTTCAACAAGACATAAAGCAAAATACAGGTGTATCTAGAGCAAACAGCAAGTGCCAGAGCTCCTGTTCACAGTTATGTAGACTTGCACAGCCACTCATATCCAGGTATGGATCTGCATATTGTTCAGAGTCCAGTACTGCTGGATTTGAGGTAACTTCACACGATCTCTGCTATCCCCTTTACAGGCAGTTTCTACAGGCAGTTCCTACCTGCAGTAATACAGATGTTACAGAGAAACCCAGGGTGATGCACATGATTCACTATGGCAACCAGTACCAGACAAGAGTTTGGGTCTTCCTGGCTACATGTACACTGTCTTTCTCAGCTACATCTGAACATGAACTATATTTCACAACATCGTGTTTCAAGACAGTTATGAATGTAATTTCTGTGCAATCTGGGCGAAAAACCTCTCTCCCTGTCTCCAGGCCAGCCTGAGAACCTGTCAAAAGGTAGGTGGTGGCTACAATTTTCAGCTTGATCTTTCTAACAGTACAGCAGTACAGATAAAAGATTCCCCAATGCAGAGGACAGCAAGAGCATACAGCAGTTTTTGTGTGGGAAGCTGTGCTCACAAGAGGGAACTCAATCTGAGGCTTCTGTTCTAAAAACCTGAAAGAGGGTAAGGACGAACATTCCTAAGCACAATGTACTGTGGTTGACACACAGTGGGAACTGCTGCTTAGCCTGTCTGTTCAGCTTGGGAACTGACCTGCTACCCAGATCAGGTGTGCATGTGAGTCAGGAAACTTTGGAATCTGAGGGAGTTTGCATTTTGCTTTCTAACTCTGCCAGGACTTTGAATATGTCATATAAATTCCCAAAAGATTGTAATGTCACCAGCGTGTCACAGGGCTAATTACCCATACAAGAAGGTTTAAGAAGAGTATTATGGAGACCAGTATACCATATAGGTCTACCGGAGTGAAACAAGCAATGCAGCACTTTGCTCAGCCAATACAGAAGGGTTTAACTAGCAATAAATCATATCATGCAATTCTGTTTTCCTAGCTAGCCAGTCTGGCTGGTGGTTTTTCTCCCTTAGTAAACATGTAGTGGAGTTTCTGAACACCCTGTCAAAAGCAGTACTGCATGGGTCACACACAGGCACATTTGTGACTATGTACTTCGAAAAACCTCACTGTATTTCCACAGTGTCCAAGCTGTCTCCTAGGAAAGTCAGTGCAAAGCGCTTTGATGGCAATTGGAACAGATGTTTGTTTTGGACTCCTATAGTTCTCTGCCCATGGATTTTCTTCTGCGGTATGTTTTGGACTCCTATAGTTCTCTGCCCATGGATTTTCTTCTGCAGTATTGAGATCTTTGTTTTCTCACTGTGTTCCAAGTGGAAATAAGCTCCTTCACCAAAAGCAGAACACAGATGAGAGATCTTGACCCAGGATCTCGGAGTAGAGTTTATCAGGAGCCATTTGCTCTCTTCACACATTTGCCTTACCTTTCAGCTTCTCTTCAGTATCACTGTCTGATTCACTGTTTTCATCTGTAACTAGGAAAAAAGAAAGGGGAAGATGAATTAAGTAAAGCCTATTTATAACTGTGCATTTCTTATCACTGGCATGAGAAAGCCAGGCCTGGCAACTTCAGGGGGAAGACAGTATAAATCTCAAGGGCCTTGTTCTTTTCAAGAGTGCACATACCCACAGACGTTTAGCTTACCAACCTTGGTATCTTCCCATTCATTCAGGGAATAATAAAAAAACCAAACAAACAACAAAATCAATTTCGCACAGCCAAAGAGTTCCATAAAGAATAAAATGCCAGAGCAGTATTTTATCCAAGTCTGCATAAGCACAACACCAAGGCAAAATACTGCTTAATATGCAGTAGTTTTTGGGATAAAGGATAAAAACAAGCAAACAAACAAAACCCACGATTGCCAGACTGAATCAGACTCAAGTTCTATATGGTCCAATAGCCTCTTTCTGTCAATGATGCCTTAGGATGCTTCTGAGAAGAGTATAAAAAATGATGTACAGACAAGTCTGGAATGCTTCCCCTGAATTGTGTTCATAAAAACACACTCATCCACCCTATCAGTGTATATTCTATGTAAAACAGGATAAACAGTAACAAGTAATTGTGGGAAACAAATAGAACTGGTGGTTACCTTTCACTGGAAATTAGGGTGTTTTTGAAAAAAAACCCAGAAAACTGTGTTAGAAAGACATAATTTTAAGTTTTACAGAGATAAGATGTTTAAATGTAATTGCCCTGAAGTACCTGAACACTTCTGGCAAGTTGTGAATTGACAGTGGGAGGCTGAAAGTCTCAATCTTGCTGTGATGGAGATGGTCCTACAGTCCAGTCTAGAAACTCTGATTCCCAACTGAGGCTATTTGTTTATCGGAATGCTGAAGGAACCAGGACTGTTTCAAAATCTACTGTCTTCCATTGGACAGTTCACTAAAGTTAACACATTCCTGCAAAATATTTTGATCTCAACAAATCAGCCTCTTTGGACAGAACATGCCTCTCCAAAGCTTCTAGCCTGTTCCAGAAATAAACATCAAAAAGCAGGGGGGGAGATTTTTGGTGCGACCTATAAGGTTATCATGTAAAGCCATGGAATGAAAATGAAGCAAGAAAATCAAAAAGGTTCCATTTTAATTAAAGTCTTTTGGGCAGAGGAACAACCTTTGTCTTCCCAAAAGAAAGGGTGGAAGCCCCAACTTAATCTCACCCTGGACTAGAAGAAGCACTAGAAAACATCACATAAATCACTAAGCCAGTCTAAACTCTAAGACAAGTCCTCAAAAAGTCTTAGATGTATGATGATTCAAAGTTCCTTTACCTTTCCCTGAATTGCTCTCTGTAGACTGCGACAGTCTCTTGACACGTTTCTTTCCCCTTCGTGCCTCATAAATGGCATTGATTTTCAACACAAGCTGCTCAGCAAACACACAAACAAACAAACAAGGTTATTTTCCTCCCCAGGCAAGAAAGAAAGTTAGAATTTCATACAAAGTGCTCTGTTTCCCAAGCTTGGCCATACTAAAACTCTTCACTTGATGGCCCAGAACCAACAATTACCAGCATCTACCTTGCACAGCAACCTGTACATGCGCTGCCAATGGCCACGCACACTCTGGTACAGAAACAGTACAGTCACGCTGGCATGGCAGGAGCCCAAGGTAACAAGTCCTGATGAAAGGACAGGCCTTAACGCATTTCCACGCTGTTTGGCTCTACAAGCTTGACAGTGCCCACCTGGGCCTCTCCATACCGTGGTCCACGCTCCAGAGAGTGCCAGAGGGTTCCTTGGGAACCTGCCCTGGTCTGCAGGTTTGAAAGCAGAAAGCTGGCTGAAGGACAACAGCAAACTTTAATGTCTTTATGCCTTTAACATCTGTTGTGGGATGTGCTGGAAAAGTCTTCATACCAAGCATGGGGGAAACATACCATACAAGGAATGCTGAAGAAATTGAGATGGGTGGGAGCCAATGATGAAGTACTACTTTATCCTAGTGGTTTGCTTTGCAAGTCCTTTAATCCCTAGCCTCCCAGCTGACCAGAAGGACCGAAATTTCAGTCTTGGGCATAGCTGTGCTTAGTGGCTCATTCAGTGCCTCTGGTCTCCCTATCTGTCCCTGAAGGCGAATGGAGTTGCAGAAGGACCGTGCCACGCTTCCCCAAGCCTCCTCAAGTAGAGTTATCTCCTTGTCAAGGTCCCAGGCAGGAGCAGCATGACATGGCCACAGCATCCAGATTTATTCCACAAAGTCTGTGAACCCTGCACACATGTCCCGAGAGCTCAAGGTAACTTGGTCAGGGAACTCTGAATCCAAGTATTTAAATGAAAGGCAGAATGCTCTGATGTGGAAATGCAGCCTCCACGCAGCCGCCCAGATCAAGTCTCAGGTTGATCTTGCCACTGACACAGTAAATCTCAGTTCTGAGCTTACTCTGCAAGACTGCTCAGTGGCAATACCTGGTAAATATATACTTGTCATCTTCCCTTCAGCTGACATAAAAGTACGTGTGAACACACTGATAGAGCTCAAGCACATACACAGATGTGTAGGCATACTGGGAAAGAAAACCCTAGATATTTCTAGTCTTTGGCTCATCCCTGAAGAGCTGAGGTATACAGAGAGGGCATTCAAAAATCAGATATGCAAACATGAACACAGATCTGGCAACCAGGAAACAAAGATACACAAACACATTCCTTTTTCCCCAAATTAAAACTATGGGTTCAGGGGAAAAAAAAAAAAAAATCACCACAGACAGTCCCTGGTAGCCTCTGCTTATCCTGCAAAGACTGGGATATGCAACTGTGTTTTTATAACTGTGTTTTTAAAACACTCAATAGATAGACTGCTGCCAAACCTCATTTGGACTGAATACACTTCCTGCTAGATCGGAAAGAAAATAAAATTGAAACTGAGTCATGCTGTATCCAAATACAAAGTAGGAAACATTGCTCCAGAAAATCCTCCTTTTGTCACTATTTTCATTGTTAACCTACACTTGTCAGTGTAGGTTTGTCAGTATTTTCATTGTTAACCTACAATCACACCCTACCTTGAATTACAAACAGCCAATGCATGAACCAGACCTAGCAAAGAACAACAGATTGCCAGGAGGGAACACCAACACAACACACAGACAATTTCTGACTGCCCCATCCATCAAGCAAAGAAGGAAATACGATGGTGTATATTTTTTTGCAAAAATATTAATTGCTTTTTTCCCCTCTGACAAACATCAACTTTTAGCCAAAAATTAAAATGCTTTTTTCTTAGTATTATTTTATCTCTCCTGACAATCATGATATCTCAGACGGAAAAATAACTTCTTCAAAACTTGCAGAGATGTTAGTGGGCCTTCTCCTTGAGGCAGAAAGGGGGTTAAACACCAGTCAAGTCAACTGCCAGGACAGCAGCTATATTGCAGGGATGCCACATTGGAAACTAAAGAAAACCTCTCATACTCACATTCCTGCCTGGAAGAAGCCAAGCAAAAGAGAGAAAGCCCTAGATTTACCTTGGGAATCTTCCTTTTCCTCTTGCCATTCTGAGGGTCTCCCAAGGAGAAGGTGGTGTCATCTGGACTGCTGGGGGTTGAGGGAGGGCTGATTTTGGATGGTGACCCAGTTCCATCACGGCTCAGTTTCCGTATGTCTGGCAGTTTGAAACTCCGTCGCTCTGAGTTTTGTCGGAAAAAAATGGGCTTGGAAAGCAACTGGAAATGCAGGAGAAGGAACGAATGAACACAGCACCTTATGCACCTTTGCTTTATTGTTAACATTATCATTGTGGTAAATCCAGTGAGGCAGCCACAGCAGCTGGCAAAACAGCCCAAATTCTGAGAATGTTCACAGATTTCTGTACACACAAAGAACTCGCCCAGCTGCTGGGCTAGACCAGGGCTATCTTGACCAGCCATTTAACCAACCCATATTCATTCCAGACCAGAATGCAGTCTGAGGGGTTGGCCACAAAGCCTTGCTGCAGTGTGAAAAAAAATCTCCCAGGACTTGTCTAATCCAGAGGCTCGGACTGTAAACAGGACAAGACTAACCAACCAGTCAACCACAAGCATTTGGGATAAGGGGCAGTTAGTCAGGACAAACAGAGAAGCAGTGAGACCCAACAAAAAGCACTGGCATTATGGTTGTCTTTGACAGTAGTCAGAATTAAGTCAGAGGAGGGTACAAGAAATGCCATGATAGACAATTATAGAGACTAGTTTCCTCCTAAGCTCATTAGCAAGTTCAGTGAGAGCGCAACAGGAGATATTTAAGTACTAGTGTAAAGTTCTTAAAGTCCCTGACCAAAAACAGCATCAGAGAAGCAAAAAGCTCAGCTCCAGGTAAATAGTTATATATTATTATATGATATTATGCTCAGTAAGAACTCTTTTTGTCATATCCTACAGAATATCCCAGCAGTTATGATAAGGTTAAGAGGATGTATCTACGTAGGACTAAGTGGTGTTGGGGAGAGGCAGCCAAGCTAATTCTGAACAAGTCGCAGCAGCACTGTAGCTGAGGCAGCATAATGGTCTGCCTCCATCAAACAGACACACTCAGCAGAGTTACTAGCCAGACCAATTAATTCATTCAGGTTGGCTCAGGTGTCTCTGAATGATCTGGGAGAAGACACTCAACTCACAAAAAAGCTTACCACCCACAGAGAAGTCACACATTAAAATGAGCCTGGGAAGAGTCTTTGCACTGAAGAATCTCACTGCCCTAGTGATATAAGCTACTACTGAAAGTCTGTCCAGACCCATTCCCCATCAGTCTCTAGCCTGGGCAGGCCCTCCAGCGTGATTCACACTGCAGCTGCAAACCTGTTAGTTCCCAAGAGAGCTGCAGCACTTCTTTCCTGACTGATGCAGGTCACAGCTTTTAGATGTGAAACCACTGTAGTGTAATGTAATTACTCCCATCCAGCTCTTTACTAAGTGTCTCCTGCTGGGAACTGTATCTATGGTGAAAGGTGTTCCTGTGTAACACTGCAGCCCCCTTTTCATAGCACAGATGGGAAATCAGGGTGCGCAGGTGAGTGCAAACCTCTCTGAGCTTCATCCCAACACTCATATATAGACCTTTGCTGCTCTAGGCCTAACTATCAACAAGGAGAATGGATTGAGAACACAGAACAATTTTCACCTTTAAGTGTTTAATTATCCAAAGAAACCTCTGTGGCTGATTAAGCTGGTTGGGAAAAAGCAACATGTCAACAACAAATGCTGCACGTCAAACTTCTGAAAACGTTGGGTAACAGCTCTAATAATAGATGCAACCTGGAGAGCATGGGAAAACCCTTTGGTAAGGAAAACCATGTTTATATGCCTGCTACCCACTCCAAGTCCAGTTGTTGCCAAGATGACTTCTGCTGTCCCATTGCCCCTGCTGTTCCAGGACCGGACTATCTGAACAGACAACAGGAACCAACCAAAACAGCTCAGGAGGCTGAGAGCAGAGTTGGCCTTGGTAAGCACTGAGCTCTGAGCAAGAGGTACAGACCAACGTTCTACCTCTTCTTTTGGCTTCACTTCCAAAGAGGAAAACGGCACCAAGCTGTGAGCTGTGCTGCTGGTGGGGACATCCTTTTAGTATCAACTCCCTAACCAGAGGGCATTGCATTAGTTACCAGCAAACAGTCTCATCAAGGAGAGTACAAAAGAGGCATCCTAAGAGAGGGAGTTGCAGAGGCATCTTGGCATCAGCACAAGCAGACTGTATACTGCCCATGACACTGAGAGAAGATGACTACAGGGCTTGATTACCCAAGCACTTAATGTCCTCTTTGGGGGCAGGAAGAGTTTTCTTGCACTATATTAATTACATATATATAATTTGTCCTGGTTTCAGCCAGGATAGAACTGGT